AGCGAAGGTGGTAGCAAAGACCTATATTCGCTAACAGAGCTCTGGATAAAAGTAAACCATCTCTGGCAGTGTTTCTGGATCTTGCAAAGGCCTTCGACACTTGATCACCAGCAGTTATTGGAAGCCCTGCAAGATGCAGGAATAAGAGGCAATGCTTACAATTTTTTTATTAGACAACAAAGTGTAAGAATAGATTATATTAATAGCACTTACCAACAAATAAAATGCGGTGTACCACAAGGTACAGTACTTGATCCTATTTTATTTAATTTATATATCAATAATTTACTATTAATAAATCATCAGGGTCGGATAATTAGTTTTGCTGATGGCACGGTTGTTTTCTATTCTGCTGATAGTTGGGAAGAATTAAAAGTAATTGTTAAAAATGATTTAAAAGACATATTCGACTGATTAAATCATAAATTCTTAACAATTAATTTCTCTAAAACATTATTTTTACCAATGAAAATAATCTACCGGAATATAACAACTTAGTAATCATCTGCAATAATCAGGTGCCTTTAACTATAAGTTCATCAAATAAATCGAAATATTTAGGAATAATTATTGATAGTCATTTGCGTTGGAATCATAATATAAATAACATTGTAAATATACTAAGAACCCTATTATTTAAGTTTAAATATCTTTCCAAAATACTAGAATTACCTTACCTAAAAATGTTGTACTACGCTTTAGTTCATTCTAGAATAACGTATGGAATATTAGGATGGGGTGGAGCCTCAAATGTGTATATGGATAAAGTCGAAGTAATACAAAAATATTTTTTAAAAATTATATTAAAAAAAGAACGCACTTACCCATCTGACCAATTATATAAAGAAGCAGAAATATTTGATCCTAAACAAAACTTTTTCTTTAAAATAGCAAACTATTATTTTAAAAATCAGAGTCTTCTTAAAAATGTAACACATAAATATGGAACAAGATCCAAGGCAATGAATAAATTAGAAGAATCAGCAGCCCATAAAACAGTAGGACAAAAAATCCATTTGTTTTTAGCACCCAAGGTTTTAAATTCACTACCCATAAAAATTAAAAATTCTCTGCCGATATCTCAGTTTAAGACAAGACTAAAAAAACATATACTCTCCATGAATAGAATAAAAATAATCGAATTAACGTATTAACCAATAACTAAAAATCAACTATAAAGTAGGTACCTACAAACAAAAAATTTAAATAAAAATTTATTTATTTCTTTCAAAAGTATATTTTTATATTTTCTTTTGTAATAATAGTAAAAATAATTTTAATTATTCATTATTATCATCAATATTATTATTATTAAATATAATTTTTAAGGTTATTATTATTATTATTAAATATTGTTGCTGTCATTATGATTGTTATTATATTGTATTTTTTATTAACATTAATCTCGATAATTTAATTTTAAAATTATACTTTATAGTATCTTAACCACGGACAGTCTCTGACTATGTGGATATTTACTGTTTATTTGTATTTTATATGTATTTTTTCTTGATTATTGTGTGTACATTTTTACAAATAAATAAATTATTATTATTATTATTATTAGAGAATGCCAGTTTTTACCAGAATTAAGAATGGAGGACATGTTGGTCAATAATTTCTCTCGAATGGATACAATTACATTTAAAAAAACTCATTGTAATGATTGGTCCTAAAATTGCAAAAAAACATACGAACTATCGAGAATCAATACATGTCAAGACAATATTATTGGTAACTTTACGGTTTTTAGCCACAGGAGATTCGTATGTCAGTTTAATGTACTTTTTTCGAATATTAAAGCAGTTAATTGGTACTATAATTCCAGAAGTATGCGAAGCGCTAATAGAAGCTTTGAAGGATCAGATCTAGGTAAAAAAAGTATTTTGTTATTATTTGTTCAAAAAAGTAGGTAGATAACATCGTTTTTATTACAATTCTGTATAGTTATCTCCCTGTTGGTTTTGGGATGCAAGTAGAGCGTCAATAAAGCCGTCTTCCTGCGGCTCTACAGAATGTCGAACGCTTTCTGATGGATGTGGAGACGGGAATGGTGATGGATAAGATGAGGAACTTGCAATAGATATATATTTACTGGTGGCAAATACGTTGGCCTTTGATTCCACTGTTCTTGTGATTGGTAGAGCATTTGCATATCAGCATCATGGAGAAGGCAGTTAATTTTATGCTCTACGTTAGCTCGAATAAATGCCTTATACGTTCTTAATTTATTTGCTACGTGTTTGCCATATACGTCAAAGCTGTCCTTTTTTGATCAGTTTCCTGGTGGTGCTTTTATTACTTTAAAAGCTTTGTCAATTTGAGGATCAGTGGGACTGGAGCGCTTCCCCGACGTCTTCTTTTCTGGTGGTATCAACTGCCTCACGGTGTCACGATATGGCTCTGATTCATAAAGTTGAGAATAAGCAGAGGTTTCCTGTCTTAGTGGTAAAACCTTTGTTACTGTTTCACGCGATGGTTCTACATGAGTGTTGGACGAATCCTCATTAGAAAGAATTTCTGATTGTAATGTGTCGTCTTCTTGTGTATTTTCCAATTCCTGTGTCTGAAACAAAAAATAAAAATAAAAATACCCCGTGTAGTGAAACTGTAAATTAAATTTATTAGATTAGACAAAAATATTGCAAATACCGACGGGTGTCAAAATTTTAGCAAGCTTTGAAAAGACCGTATTCAACATCCTCTTTTAATAGCTATTTTTATAAAAAGGGAGCAAAATGCATCATTTCCTCCCGCGGAGAGTGTGATCAAAATCCAAAAGAGGATGTGGCACTTTGCTCCAGAGTAATATATATGAATTTTTCTACGACAGGAAGTAACAGGAACAAAAGTATTTTTCTTCCCTAGGGAGTAGAAGTATTTATTTTCAACCATATATGTAATGCTGTCATTATTAACGTTATTGAAGGTTGGGAAGTGTCACATTACATACCTCTACTTCCCGCCCTCACTTCCCGTCCTCATTTAATTTATTCTAGATGAATATTTTTCAAAAATGTAGAATTTTTTTGGGGAAAATTAGCTATTGTATTGTGCCCAATTGGTACATTTCTTGCTATTCCTCCTCTAAGCTGAACAAAAAATCTATCGATTTTTATGTTTTTTTCTCAAATTTATGTAGTCTCTAATGATCTTCACCCATACTGGATCAGTAATAAGAAATGATCTACTTGTATGTGTGTTAGAATCTGGAATCTCAACCGAAATTTTTTCTTCAAAAAAAGCCACATCCAACATTTTCATTTTCACTAATTCGTCCGTCAGACAAGCTCCAGATACGCTTATTATTAATGCTACCTAAAACAATAAGAAAAAATAATACCATAATAACAGTGTACTTGTATTAGCTTAAAAAGTTTTTTTTTAATACTTATTTAAAGAATCACAAATATCTAACCTTTATCGGTAGAAGATTATTTGGAGCTTTATTTAAAAAATCCTCTATATTCTTCCTCAAAAATACGTTCGATTTCTTGGGTCTAAAGCCCACATTTTGTCGTTTTAGGAAGACTAGCAGTTTCCCATGTTTCGAAATATCAGTTTTTTCTTCAATTTCTAGCATCGTTCGTATCATACTGTCATTGCCCACAAAGTAGACGGTCTCTTTTGTCTGGTATATTCTCTAAAATATACCAGGAGAACACTTTCGGAACCGATAATTTTGACCTGTTTTTCTTCGCACCACTTTCTATATAATTCAATGGCTTTTAGGTATCGATGCTTACTTTTCTCTAGCACCAAGCCCTGGGCTGATGCGTCAGCAGCCTGTCGTACTTCTGGTGGGGCACAATCCATCAACATTTATTTATATTGGGGACAATTATTTACCCCGTAGTCACGGTAACAATATATTTACTTGATTATTCTGAGAAAAGCGCGTGCTTGGTACTTTGTCGTTAAATGTAATATTTTGGGTATGTTCGAACGAAACAAAGATTTATTAATTTTGATCGAAATATGATGGTTGTAAATAAAACAGTATACAAACCTCTGTGGGAAGTTTCATTCCTGTCTCGAGATCATAACTAATCTCACGACAGGAATGAAAGTCTTCCCAGCTCGGTGTGTAATATACTATTTCCTCCTTAGGAATAAAAAGTACCTTTTTGCTCCCTAGGTAAAAAAAATATTTCGCTTATTAGGGAAGAAATGTGGTATTTTGCTCCACCACTAGATGGGGCAAAATCATATTTTCTATATAGGGAGTAAAAAAAATAACTTTTAAGAAAAATTGCTTCTAACTGCGGATTTCTACACACGAATTTTAAAAGTTGCCTTTTAAATATGTTTTAAAACCACTTCTAAAGTTAAAAGAGGTTATTGAATATAGTGGTTATACAGGGTATCATGAATTTAAGTAGTTGTATGGAAATCTCGATAAATAAGCAAAATAAGGGAACTTATGTTAATAATGAAATTGTTGACTTAGTTGGACATTTCTTACCATGTACCTATTTTTTTTCAGTTACCCGCTTTACACGAGGAGTGGATTCAAGTTGCCCATGATTATGAAGACCTGTGAAATTTTCCTCAATGCGTAGGAGCAATTGATGGGAAACATGTCGTACTACAAGCCCCTTTTAAAAGTGGAAGTGAATATTATAATTACAAGGGCACTTTCAGTATTATCCTTATGGCAGTAGTAGATGCAAAATATAGATTTTTATATGCGAATGTGGGATGCCAGGGACGAATTTTCGATGGTTTAGTTTTTAAAAATACAGATTTTGCAGAGAAACTAAACGATGGTACATTAAATTTGCCACCTGCAAAACTGTTGCCAGGACACCAAGACCGAACAACACCTTTTGCGTTTGTTTATGACGATGCGTTTCCTCTCCAGGAGAACTTAATGAAACCATTTCCAGGAGAACATGCGAAGGGGACGTTCCAACGTTCATTTAATTACAGGTTATCACGAGTGAGACGAGTAGTGGAAAATACTTTTGGAGTTCTGTCAGCTTTGTTTCTAGTCTTACGAAAAGCTTTACTTTTGCAACCTGATAATGCTGAAAAAGTTGTTCTGGCTTGTTGCTACCTGCATAATTTTTTACAAAACAATAAATCAGCCACAGTTTTCTACAGTCCGTCTGAAACCTATGATAAAGAAGATACTTCCTCCGGAATTTTTTACATTTTTAAATGTAAAGAGAGTTGGTAGAAAAGCAACCAGGGTAACACAAGAGGTCTGTAAACAATTTGCGCGTTATTTTTCAACCAATGGAAGAGTGCGATGGCAAGACAAAATGGAATGAAAAATAATATTGTTTGTGCTTAATGTTAATATAATTATTATAATTCTGTACACAGGCAATAAAACATAATGATTGCTAACCTTGACTTCAGTATCTCTTGTATGTGTCGGCTTATTCTTATCTTTTAAAAACATTAAATGTTTATATCCAAACCAATGAGAGACGTACAATTCACTTGTTCCTTGGCCGGATTTTGTGACACATTTAACACATTCTCGCCAAAATTGATTTTGCACAACTTTCCATTTTTGCTCACAATCTTTCCGCGAAAGCCCTAGAGCTTCAGCTATATTCTTGAATGCGTCAGTACGTTTGTTTTTAATCTTATAAATCTCATTTTCTGTATTCTATATATTCAGAAAACCTCTTACAAGATCTATCAACAAAAGAGTTTGCTCTTCAGTCCAGTTGTGAGATATGTTAATAACGGATGAAAACTCGTTCGATACGAGTCGTCACACTACTTGAAATGAACTACACACTTATTATTTTTCTGCGAAAATAAAATTATACCGTATATACGTCTAAACTAGCAACGCTGTGTGCGCACTGTTAGACAACATTCTCTTTGATGTACCGCCTAGGGAGCGAACACTGCGCAACAGATCGGCAATAGCTGCGCAACTGTTGTGCAACACGTACACACTGTGTGAACTCGTGTGTTGTTCAGCTGTTGCCCAACAATCTTTGCTTGGTCTATTCCCACCTTAATAATTGTCATTCACACAGTGCGTAAATAAAACTTTTACGGTTAACTACTCTGCGGCAACCAATGAAACTATTGTCTCTAATAGGTACGTCACCAGTTTACCCATCTGCAAAAAAGATATTGTAGAGTTATCATGTATATATATTTCTTAGTTTTGTGACCACTTTCGTATGCAATGATGTGCAGCATCCATTAAACAACTCTTTTTCATTGAGTTTTACCAACAAATAATCTAAAGTTACATACTTCTCTGAAATCATACATTAATTTATAACTCGTATATAAGTAACATTATGGCATTGGTATCTAGTATTCTTGTGTTAGTGACTTTTTTGGTGGTGACTTTAAAACTTCAGTGTTCTGTACTGCTTGTGATATATTAATAATGTATAGATGGTAAGTGCTGATGGTACCAGATAAAAAAAAATATTCAATCATATTAATTTAATTTTATTAAAAAAATTGCACACTGAGCCAACACTGCTATTAAATACATATTAAATTTAAAGAACAGTTTTTTAATAATTTAATCATAAAATTCATGAATTTGACGCCAACTTGAAGTTTGAAATTCACTAATATTATTCTGTTAAAAACCTACCAAACGTACATTTATTACTGTGATATTCTATAAAATAAATTCTTAACACGAATTATGTCGACTCCTATACATGGCCCTTATGGAAGAATGCTGACATTGTAAAACTCTTTGTTCTGATATATTCATTTTTATCTTATTTTGCATTTTTTATTGTAAGACGTTTTTATTTTCTTTTAGAGTAGTCAGTCAGATGCTAGATTCCATATTGTTAAGTTGTAATAAAAAGTATAATTGTTGTATTAAGTAATAAAAGTATTTTTTTTAAAAACGAACTTTGAGTTAGTAGGAGTTAATTGGCGCAGTCAGTAGGATATCGGGATTGATTTGTATCGAACATATCGATTTTCGTTCCTACGATTTACCGTATATCGAACTTAAGTGACTTTCGTTTGTGACATTGTTCCGGAGTGGCTCCTTGAACTTCAGGAAACCCAGTCTTTTGCAGACCCGACAAGAATAGTGGATCCAAAGCGGAAAGGAGAATTGAAACCCAAATAGTTCAATTCTGCAGAGATATTTTCTGGGAACGACAAAAATTGCTGACCTGGATTTATTTCTATAGAGGGATGCTCAAAGTTATATTTTTATTGTAAGTACATTTCACATGTCCGTAATTGACGATTTGTCAAATATTCTTTCTAATTTATATTTAGACCCTTCAACTGACTCGAATCTCGAAAATAATTTAGAAATAATAATGCCTGATTTTAAACCAGAATACTTAACTTGTGTACCCAACTTTGACGGTAACCCGAATGAATTAAATAGATATTTATCCGTATGCTCATCTTTGATTGATAATTTTTATAATATTGCTCAGCCAAATTGTTTTCAAAATGTTTATCTGTTAAATTGTTTAATTTCAAAATTAAGTGGCAATGCCAAATTAGTAGTAAATATACAAAATGTTTCAACTTGGAACGATTTAAAATCAGTATTAACTAGAAACTTTGCAGATCAGAGAGATGAATCTTGTTTAAATAGGGATCTTGTTATGATGAAACAAGGAGCTACTGAAAAACCACAACAATTTTATGATAGAGTTTTAAACATCCTAAATCTTTTGTGCAGTTATGTTGATGCTCACGAACACATCCTTGCATCTAAAGCATTAAAACGCGATTTATATAACGATTTAGCTTTAAATACCTTTTTAACTGGTTTAAGGGAACCTTTAGGGACAACAATTAGATGTATGAAACCTACTTCATTAAGTGAAGCTTTGCAATATGTTCTAAAAGAAGACAATGTTCATTATTACCAAAATTTCGGCAATAAAAATAATTTAAATAATGTACGAATTCAACAAAATAGACCATCTGTTTCACCACAAATTCAAAGACAAAATTTTAACCCTAATTTAGCATCTTTTAATTCAAATACGTCGAATAACTTTTTCAACAGACAAACTGCTTTTCCGTCGCAACCTGTCCCAATTCAATCCCAACAACCAAGGCAACCGCAAAGATTTTTCACTAACGCACAAGTTTTTGGAAAACCTCAGCAAAATCAAAATGTTTTTAAACCTAATAGAAACGTAAATTTACCAAATCCAACGCCCATGAGTGTTTCTACTAGAAATACAAGTAGTAACTATAAAACAACACCTATGAGTGTCTCAACGCGTAATTTTGCACCAAATTCATCCAGAAACTATTTTCAAAATAATTCTTATCCTCAAAATAAATTTAATTCGGAGGAATTATTTAATGCTGAAGTTGACGAACAAAATTATTTACCGTTTGAAGAAAACCAATTTCCCGGAAACAACTGTTCACAAGGTGATTTTTCCGAAAATAATTTTAAAGGTGTATCTGTCGAAAACGACGAAATAAATTTTCAATTAACGCCTCAAAATCAGCAAGAAAGGTAACGCCAAAACTTATATCCTTAAATTTAAATAGCTCAAGTGAATTATGTTATGTTGTATTCCTGAACATAATCTAAAAATTTTAATCGATTCAGGCTCTACTAAATCTTTTATAGATCCTGAAATTGCTTATAAATATTTTTCCAAAACTATACAAAATGATCCATTTGTTGTTAAATCAGTTTTCCAAGAATCAACTCATAAATATAGTACTTTAATTCCCGCTTCAAATATTTTTAACTTACCAAATAATTTAAATTTAAAATTTTATCTTTTTAAATTCCATAACATATTTAATGGTTTAATTGGTTTAGACAACTTAAAATTATTAGAAGCAATAGTAGATTTTTCTAACGGATATTTAGTTACACCTTACGCTAGAATAGAATTAAAATATTACCGAATTAAAGGTGATCTTAATTTAATAACAGTAACGCCTCGCTCTGAACAAGTTATAAAAATAAAAACTAGTATTAAAAATGGTGAAATTGTTATACCGTATCAAAAATTTCCTAATTGTGAAATACCCCAATCTTTATCTATTGCAAAAAATGGTGAAGCCATTACAACAGTTCTTAATATTAGTACAAACCCGGTAACATTAGATCTATCGGAACCAATTATTGTTGAAAAATTCGATAAAGTTCCGATAGAGAAATTTGAACTTAATAACTTCGACGATACTTTTTCTACTAATTTAGACTTTAATAAAATTCGAACCGATCATTTAAATGACGAAGAAAAAAATAAAATATTAAAACTCTGTTCAGAATATTCTGATATTTTTTATAGGGAAGACACGCCACTGACCTTCACTAATAAAGTTAAACACGAAATTCGTACAACAGACGAAGTTCCAGTTTATGCTAAAACATATCGCTATCCGTATATATATAAACAAGAAGTTGAAAATCAAATTAATAAAATGTTAGACCATAAAATAATTCGCCCAAGCTCAAGCGCCTGGAACGCCCCACTTTGGGTAATTCCAAAAAAATCTGATGCATCTGGTAAAGCTAAATTTCGTATCGTTGTATATTATAGACGTCTCAACGAAAAAACAATCGATGACAAGTACCCTTTGCCTAACATTACAGATTTGTTGGACAAATTGGGTAAGTGTCAATATTTTTCGACGCTAGACTTAGCGTCAGGGTTCCATCAATTGGAAATGACGGAAAAAGATATAGAAAAAACGGCATTTAGCACTGAAAATGGACACTGGGAGTATTTAAGGATGCCATTTGGCCTTAAAAATGCCCCAGCGACATTTCAAAGAGCAATGGACGGAATCCTCAGGGGCATACAAAACGAAAAGTGTCTTGTATACCTTGATGATATCATTGTTTTCTCAACATCGCTCCAAGAGCACCTTGAGAGGCTTAAAAGTGTGTTTGATCGTTTAAGAGAAGCCAACTTTAAAGTACAGTTGGATAAATCTGAGTTTTTACGAAAGGAAGTAGCTTATTTGGGTCATATAGTGACTCCAGCAGGTGTTAAACCTAACCCAGACAAGATAAAGGCGATAAAAAACTACCCCATACCAAAAACCACAAAACAAATAAAAGGTTTTTTGGGACTTTTAGGATATTACCGACGTTTCATTAACAATTTTTCTAAACTGACAAAACCCTTGACAAAATGTTTAAAAAAAGGTGCAACTATAGAACATAACGACGAATTTAAATCATGTTTCGAATCGTGCAAAAGTATTTTGACTAATGACCCCATATTACAGTATCCGGACTTTTCGAAGCCCTTTAATTTGACAACCGACGCCAGTAACGTTGCACTTGGCGCCGTTCTATCACAAGGACCCATTGGACATGACCTACCCGTAGCATATGCGTCCCGGACTTTAAACAATTCGGAACAAAATTATTCTACCATCGAAAAAGAGCTTTTAGCTATTGTGTGGGCCACAAAATATTTCAGGCCGTACCTGTATGGTAGG